TTTAGCATCCACATTTTTTTTGGTTCAACCACAAAAATTTATATGCACCGGTATTGCTGATGTGGCAGCCAGAAAAATAGACCCAGTCTAGCCTTAAATTTATTTTACACTTAAGTAGAGACCTAGTCTCTTTGCATTGGAGTAGATTTTGTTAATTTTACATAGTTTTATCCATGTCATCTAAGACTTAGATTTATTTACATGTCACATTGGGAAGACTAGACCAAATGCATTGTAGATGTTCGATGATTTGTTAATTTTAACTTGTATTTCTAGTTGGATCATGTTGATTCTAATGCCTTGTTATAAATTATAGGTCATTTTTTAGTAGATAATTTTTTTAACTTAAAATCTAACTCAAATTTAACTATATCCATTTTTTTTTAATATTATCAATATAATTAAATAATATCAATCAATCATCCTTACACAAGATAATCAGCTTTTCTAACTCAAATTTAACTATATCTAACTTTTTCAGTATTATTAATATAATTAAATAATATCAATCAATCATCCTTACACACCATAATCAACTTTAATTTATTATTCATTCACTCACATAATTTTAATTATCACCACTTCCAATCATCTCACTTTACTTTTACATCAAATCAACAATAATCATTATATTTTAAAAATAATTATAATACAAACTCAAAATCCACTCAAATCTAACTCAATTAACTTTTTTTAAAATTAATTATAGTCATCGAACAAATCCAATTAAATCCAAAATAACTTTTATTCAATCACTAGCTAGCATGGTTTAAGATCTTATGTGGCAACATTACAAGCATTACATACTTCATAACTAGGTTTGGGTATGCATCAACTTTTAAAAAAACCAATAAATCTTGACTTAGAAATAACTATTACTCTTATACTTCATAGGATTATGGACATACCACGGACAACTGTAGGCACTTTAAAGATGAATTTAACGGCTTGATAGGAGTTGAACACCTAAAGGAGGTCACAGGGAAGAGAGAAACAAAAGACCTAAATCACCTATAGAAAGACGAGCTCCTACCTAGAATATGGATGATCCAAATTATTTCGGGTGGACCAACGGATAGGATTCCAATAGACTAATAAAAGTGTATGTCAGGAGTCAGAAGGTGGAAGTAAATCATGTTACTTTAAAAGGACATATACTATATTTAGGGCCAACCAACACTGAGGAAGTTGAGAGGTCACACAATGACGCGCTGATGGTATCAACGAAAGTCGCTGGATATGAATTCCAACGAGTCTTCATCGACACTGGTAGTTCAGTGGGTGTCGTATTCTACAATTGCTTCAGTCAGATGGAGTTGGAAGTCGAGATGAAGGCAGTAAACACAACACTTATGGATTTAATGGCTCGAAGGTAGCCTCAACCAGAGATGACATTACACGTGGTATTAAGAAAAGAGAACACCCGAAATGTCAAGATGGTGAGGTTCTTAGTAGTGGATGTCGACTTAGCCTATAATTTTATTCTAGGTAAACATGTGTTGCACACTTTTCAATCTGTAGTGTCCACCTACCACATGAAGCTGAAATTTGTAGTTGGAGACCAGGTAGGTGAAACCAAAGGCCACCAGAAGTTATCATGTACCTGTTATCAGATGGAGGTTCAAGCAAACAAGCGAGTTGAGATTAAGAAAGGAAAACAACCTATTGCAGGAGATAAAGCAAAACGGGGTGGCGACATGAAAAGGTTTATGGAAATTTAGATTGGAGAGAAGGAGCTGAGAAGGCAGCTGGTCGAGCAACTTAGAGAATACAAAGATATTTTGACTTCACCATAGAATATCTAATGGGTATCGACCTAGAGATCATGTAACTTCGACTCACTATCGACCCAACAAAGTAACCGATGAAGCAACATCGCATACACCATGGGACCGAGTTGGATAAAGTTATTGAAGGCGAGATAGACAAGTTGCTATGAGCTGGGCACGTCAAGGAAATTCAGTTCCCTAAGTGTTTTTCCAAAACGGTGATAGTCAAGAAAGCCTTGAATAAATGGCGATGCATTGACTTTAGGAACATAAATTTGGTTTGTCCTTGTTGCGGTTTTATAAGAAATGTCATATTCGTGCAAGTCACGAATTAATCTACAAAAGTAAACATAAGCGAAACCCAACTAAAGCAAGGTTTTAACATTTACAGTTTAAAACTTTTGCAGACTCTGAGACGACTACACGGCCTACAGAGCCGAAAGAATGGTTATGAGATGATATTCTCGCCTTCTTCCTTCTTCTTTGATCGTTTATTGGATTATTACTCATTGGGATCGAGACTCTTCTAGTGATGATTGTGCATTGTCGGGAGTCACTGGTCGCAGCTGGGATGCGGACGTTGTGTGCATTGGTTGCTGCAGCATGCAACGCGTTGGTTGCGGGCTTCGCTGCATGCACACGCTACAATTGTGGAACACGGTGGTCTTCGGGGTTATGCGGGGTTGGGCGGGGGTCGTGTGGTGGTACCTGCATCCTCATTTTATCTAAAGATATTGAATGACTCGACACCTTCTCCGTTCGTCTTAGTGGACGACGATCTTGGAGATACCTCGATTGGAATTCCAAAACTAACAGGAAATCTCAAAGTTGTATGTTGTGTATTTATCGTGTGTCTTAGGTGTGTGGAACTCCCAAAATAAGAGATCTATTTATTGGCTACAACAGGGACCCTAAGGTGGTGCTAAATATGAGTTTTCCAAGTATGGGCCTGTTGTAAATATTTTTACCGGAGTAGAACCCCAAAGATTCGACACCGGGCCGTGTCTCACGAGGAAGGTTAGCCAGAATATGTTGTACGTTTATTCAAGCACAAAAAGGCAAAATAAAAATCCTAGACATTCTAATTCAGATAAGAGGATATGTTTAATTATCAACTACTGCAGATATTTAAATAAGCAATAAAATAGCAAGAAACAACGAAGAGCAAGTGGGACTTGAGAAGCTAGGGATTCGGGGATATCCGTTTTGGTTCGAAATGCGATTCTCAAGAAAGTGATTGTCCAGCTAAGTGATTTGGTAACCAACACGTTCAAGTACTCATTCTCAATAACTTTTCGTAACAAGAGAACAAACAACAACGGCAAATTATCAGTTCATTTAACACCTAGGCAATACAGTTACGAACAAGCCTAGCCTATGCGAGCCTATTTCGAACGACTCCTCCCCTTTCGGTTCTAAGAGTCGATTAACTTAGACTAGAAAGTAATTAATCAACTAGCCCATTTAAAATTAACAACATCAAGCATGAATTTATCAGATTCAATTGAAACAATTGCAAGTTGAAGTGTCACCCTTCAACAATTCTCAAAATCCAACATAATGATTGAAAAACCCTAATTAAAGATCAACTCGCATAGGAAGAACAATCACGAACATGATAATCGTAAACGAAATCAAAACATCAATCCCCTATCCCTAGCATAAAGATCTAGCTACTCATAGTGTATTCAACATTAATATTCACACCAACCCAAGCCATAATAATCAAGGATAAACGAAAAGAAAAGCTTACGATTGATATAAATCCAATGTCGAAAACAAGGAAGAAAACCAAATCCACAAGTTGAATCTTGGAAGTTTTCACTTTCCAATGTTGAATCTAAGCATAAACCAAGAGAAAAGATGTTTTGTAGTGAAAAAGCTCGAAAAACAATGTCTGGAGAGCTCAAAAAATGCCCTAGGCTCGATCGAATAAGTCCCCAAATTCAAAATCCACGAAAATCGCGACTGTTACAAAACAGACCTTAGCGCCGCTAAGGGGTTAGCGGCGCTAAGCCTTCTTAGCTGGTTGCCTCTGTCCCGCTTAGCTGCCAAAACCCCGCTAACCACAAT